TATATAAAAATAAATAAATATATAAAATTAATAAACAAAATAGTATTTTATTTATTAAATAAAATTAAATAAACTAAATAAATCAAGTAAATTAAGTAAATTAAATTTATTATATAAATAGTATAAAGCTAATTTACTTAAAAAAACCTGTTTTTCTTTAGTACCAGAGACTTAGACATCTAGATAAGAAAGTAATTAAATATCTTAAAGAAATAATTCTAAATATTTACTTATTAGATCTATTTAAATCAGGTGAATTTGACCTCTGTGAAATCTATTATATTATAAATATAAATAAATAAATATCATACAAATTAATATAAATAAAATAAATATTTTTTAATTATTTATATTAGGATCTTATTCATATGTTTCTAGAAATTAAAAATAAATAATATATTAGTTATATATATAATTTATTTACTAAATATCACCTGGGGCAAACCCTTGTAAATAAAATAAATATTTATTAATTTTTAAAATAAATAATATAATTTATATAAATATAATTTAAAGTGGAGTCTCGTCAGTTCTATTTAGATAATAATTTAAATTTATTTAATTAATTTATATTCTGTAAAAAATCAGGTATTCTAGTTATATAAAATCCTGAGAATTAATCTAAATAAAATAGTCTTATAAAAAGGACTGAAGCCTTAATTATTTAAAAAATATATATTTTATTAATTAATTTTAGATTATTTTATTTTTTATAGCCTGAGGCAGCAGAAACAGTAATATTTATATTAAATAAAATATTAAATAAAGTAAATAATTAGAAAACTCTATATAATAAACTATATAAATATTTAAATAATTTACTAAACTTTCTGTATAAAAAATCTGATTTAGTTAATTTAAAACAGTATAACTTAAAAACTTATATAAAAATTATTAAACTATTTTATCTTAGTAAGTTAAATCCTAGAGCCCTAATTAGTTATCTAATAAAATATATTATATTAAATATATAGAAAGTATAGGTCCCAATAAAATAAAAAATAATAATTATAAGAGATTATATTTTTAATAAAAATTTACTATATAATTAAATAAATATAAAAATTAGTGAATTTTATCAAGAAGATTTAGGGCTAAATCTATCTAAAGCCTTAAATAATAAAGAAATTAATAAAATTATTAAATTTATTAAAGAAAATTCAAAAATTCATAATTCTCAGCAAAATGATATGGAAGAAGAAAATTCAATAATTTCTTATAATAAAAATAATTAAAATACTTAAATCAATTAAAATAATAAACAAAATGATGAAATTGATGAAATTAATTAAAATAATTAAAATAATTAAAATAATTAAAATGATTAAAATAATTAAATTAATTAAACTAATCAAACTGATTAAAATGATCAAACTGATTAAATTAATCAGATTTTAGATAATTAACTACTTACTCCAATACTAATTTTATCTATTGTTTTTATTAATAATACAGACCTTTTTTCAAAATTTAATTAAATTATAAGAAAATAAAATTAATTAGAGTCACTTGATTCTGGATTATTAAAATAAATATAAAATTTTATAATATAAACAGATCAAAATAAATAAATAATATAAATTTAATTATTTTTATATATATTTATAACAGGAATTACAGATAAAATATTAAAATTATAAAAATATAACCTGCCAGTTCTACCAGTAAATTAAAAGAAATTATAAAAATATTCTTACTAGTAATAATTTACTGAAGCTGTAAAAATTAAATATTAATAATTATAAATAATATAAATATAGATCTCTATATCAGAAGAAAAAATAAAAAATTATTAAATTTTTTTATTAAAGTAGATCTTTATATATAAATTTAATAAAAATATAAATTTATTAAAATTTAAGGCCTGTATTTATATACAGAAAGATTTTTAATTTAATTTATTTTAGAAAAAAACTAGGGCTTTAATCTTAGGGTCTTAAATTTTAAGAATAATATTTATATTAATTATAGTTTTTAATCTTAAAATATACTAATTAAATATAATAAATATCTTTCTAAATAATTATTTATATAAAAAAATTTATATATTATATCCCTCTGGTTTTGGAGCCAAGGGAAAAATACTTAAATTATTTAAAATTTTATATAAGTTATAAAAATTACTCTTACTCTAGCAAGAAATAATCAAGGAAATCTTTATTAAACTAGATCTATAATCAGTAAATGAAGATTCTTGTATTTTTATAAATAATTATCTAATCTTAATTATTTTTATTAATAATATTATCATTATTTTTTATAAATTAAATTAAAAAATATTTAAAAATTTTAAAGATTCATTGATTTCTATATATAATATAAAGGAAATAAATAAAATAACAAAATTTTTAAATATTAATATTATTTATAATAGAAAAAATTAAAAATTATGGATATTACAAACAGATTATATTAAAAAAATTAATTATTAATTTAATCTGATTAAGTAAAAACTATCAAAAACACTATATATTATAAATATTTAAAAAGATATAAATAATATAAATATACATATAAATCTTATTTAAATTAAATTATATTAATAAAAAATTAGCTTTTTATTATATACAGCTATTATTTTAAGACTAGATATTATAAAAACAGTATAAATACTTAGTGAATATTTATTAAATCTATTTTTAAAGTATTAAAATACTATAAATCACATGATTTTTTATTTATATAGATCCAGATATCTTTGTATTGAATATTTAAATAAATAAATAAAATAAATAAATCTAATCTTTTAAATAACTAGTGATGCAGTATTTATAAATAATATAAATAAAATAAGCTCAGAAACTTATATTTATAAATTTTTTAATAGGCTAATTAATTAGATATTTAAAAAATAAAAAATAGTAATATTATTTATTATAGAAATTAAATTTTTATTTTTTATATAAGCCAGCAAGCAATTTCTCTAGTAAATTTAAATTTTTAAAATTATATAATTTAATTCTGAACAACCTGTTTGTATTATTTATAATAATATATAAATAATATAAATTTTAATTAATAAATATTTATTATACAGATCTAAACTTAAATATATTAATATTTATTAAAATTAGTTAAAATAATAAATTAATATAAATAAAATTAAAATAAAGTAGATCTTAATTAATTAAATATCTACTAATAGCCTGACTAAGTAATTAACTAGTTAAAAATTTCAAAATTTTATTAAATATTTGAATATGAAAGATATTAAATATTTAATTTAAAAATTAATAAAATTAAATTAATTAAATATTATAAATTAGTTAAATTAACAGATTTACATATATGTAAACCTGAAAGAGTATATTAGCTGGAAATCAGTTATTTTTTAACTATTTAACTTAGCTAAGAATCTTATATAAATTCTATAAGAATTCCAGCTAAGATGGATAATATAAAAATAAATTATTTTTTTTATATTACTGATATTATTTTAATTATTTAATTATTTAATTTTTTATTTATTATTTCTTACTTTATTTATTTATTTTATTTTTTTTATTTAATAAGTAAACTGATAATTCATGATTCTGATCTAGAATTATTTATTAAAAATAATAAATAAAATCTTTTATCCCCTAGCAAGTAAATAAGTAAGTTAAATTTATTTATTTTTTATTTAAAGGATTTACTTATTTTTTATTTAAAAAATAAATAAATATTTATTTTCCTTTGACAAGTTTATCAATTGTATTAATTTTTTATTATTATTATTATAATTATTTTGATCTAGTTTCTTAATTGGGACTAGTATTATCTAATATTATTCTTTTTGGCTTAGTGCCAAGTAGGAGTCTTCTATAAAAATCTTTTATAGAATCTTTTTACTAATCTGACTGGCCCACTTCGCTAGACCGCCTTCCTGATTTGGACTAGTGCCTGGGCCAAATTCCCAACAAGTATTAATAGATCTATATATTATTAATATAATTTAAATAAATATATATATATATTAATTTTATATTAGTGAAATATAAGTCTACCAGTAATCCAGTATCTGCCGGAAAGAACTAGATATAATTAGTAATTTTAAAATAAACTTATAGTTAATATAAAAATATTATTAATATATAAAAATAGAAATAGAATAAATAATACCTGATATATATACAGTAATTTATAACCAAAACTCTCCAGGTTGGATTTTTTTAATCTTAACTAATAATTATCAGATCTTCTAATAAAATTTAATTAAAATTTTGTATAATATAAGACCTCGCCAGGTTTACCATCTGGTAAGACAGTGTATTTTTACAGCTTAGTTTTTCTGATAGTCAGTACTAGTAATAACCAGGTCCCATACTGGTAAGAACCAAAAATACGTACGACCTGGCGACCTGGGGACCTATACACCCGAACCTAGGACGAGACGATGATATCCCAAGTTTACCTGTCGTGAAATATGAATTCCTACGGTTACATCCCTTCCGGCCTCGGCCATCCCATATCAATCTTCGAAGTTGGTTGTGCTTGTACATTGCATCCCATCACACGAAATGTCAACTGGGCGATCACATGACATGAGTGTATTAATCATCATCGCCTCCAAGCGATTAATTGTTCACCAACAACCTTTTCTGTTTCTATCAACATTACTCACGCCACGCCGCCTTCAACCCCGGGCTAGTACTGAATATGGATGATGTCAGAGAAGTAGATGATATCCCAGTCTCCCCAACGCGCAGAAGAAAAGCCCGGGTATGTCCTCACTGCAAGCGATCCTTTCGTCGCCACGAGCATCTCCAACGACATCTCCGAATTCGTTAGTATAGCCGCTCAGAAAGCATGCGCTAGGCCATTGGACTAAGGATTAAAACCCAGACACTAACGAGAAACCGTACAAATGCGATTGTGGAGCCAACTTTAGCCGACGAGATCTTCTGAAGCGTCATCAAAGTATTGGCCATGCTCCGAACACCCCATCATCGCAGCATCTCTCGTCCTTACCTGCGCTTGACGATCCAAATAATGTCCAATCCAGTACAGATGGGCCCTGTATGGGTATGGTACCTCCATTAACGGAACCGACGGAGTCCCTCAATACATCAGCTGGTACAAGCGGTCGTATTGGCCAAGGCCAAGAAGAACGGCTCGAAGGTACGTAAGTCCCTATTGTCAGATGAAGTATAGATCTTGACCACAGAGCCTTTGAGAACCCTTTTAATTTACTGAAACTATACAGGCGACCTACTGTTTCATACCCAGGATCTTTCTGTTTTCCAAGACCTAGACATATTTAATAACAACCTGGGACTCAACGACGACTGGTATTTCCCATCTGAGCCCAGCATCCAAATATATACTGGGGACCTTGGGTTCAATAATATGCCGACAGCATCCATCGCCAACCCACCTAATGGTGACCCTTCAGATGTAGAACAAACGTTAAGCAAGCTTCCCACTGACAGAGAAGCCGTCGGTAAGGTTCCTGTGCGAGACATTTGACACATCACTTGCAAGTACTAAGTACAGCTTACAGCGGAGTTCGGAGTCCTTACTTTCCCAATACTCGTGGTTACGAATCAACACAGAGAACGCCTCTCTCGAGCATTGATGGTGTGCCATTCGGTCGACGCAGCTAAAATTCTACCATCATGTCACTCACTATCACGATTCATCAATGGGTTCTTTGATGGTTTTTATCCTCACCTACCGATGGTGCACATTCCAACATTCAGGATAGACGAATGTGATCCGGAGATGTTACTGGCCATGTGTGCTCTGGGCGCTGAATCTCGGCATGAGAATCGCAAAGCAGCATTCTTATTCCGAGCGGCCAAGGAAATACTGCACGAAAGAGCGAGCAGGAAAGAATGGAGAGATACGGAATGTCCTTTCGATGCCTCGGAAGGAAGCGCAGCCTTACCAAGTCAGCAAACCTCCACTCCCACCGACGACACTCTGCGGTGTCGTAGAACAATGCGTGAAGCCCGGTGTGCCTTTCTACTTATTGCGTTTGCCACCTGGCGACGTGAGGAAAGCATACATCGTGAGGCTTTCAATCTCCAGAGTTTCTTGGCTAGATGTGTTCGAGCGTGCCAACTAAATGAGACAGAACAGTCTTTAGTTGCCGATGGCGGCAGCTGGCATCTGTGGATTCAGCAGGAAACCGATAGGAGGGTAAAATTACTCTCGTTCGCTTTTCTAAACCTTCAGTCCATTGCATTTGGCACTCCACCAGCCATTCTGGCCGATGAAATTAACGTTCGTCTCCCATGTAGCAGCCTCGAGTGGATTGCTCCGAACGAACAGAAATGGAGGCTTGCTCGAAGGCCTGGCCATCGGGAGCAGATGTCGTTCCAAGATTCTCTCTGTAACGTCATAAAGAACACACCAGATATAAATTCGACAGATACGCTGCCTATACCTTCTCCTTTGTCAAACTATATCATCTTACACGCCATCATACAGCGGATATTACTGGCATATCATACACTTGGTCCATATAACGATGCGAATAATATCATACTCAATGGGCAAAAGAATGTCATACGGTATGTGATCTAGTATCTGTTCAACAATCACCTCTGCCGATCCGCTAACCTTTTTACCTTCCTGCTAGTAATTCTCTTCATGCATGGACATCTTTATGGCAACGAGCCCCTGAATCGAGTTTGGACCCCCGCAATCCGAATGGCCCTGTGACATATACTTCAACTGCTCTGCTGGGTGTTGCGTATATTCGACTTGGCCTCGATTTGGGCTCATATAGAATTCTTCAGTCCCACGACGCTACAGACATAGCAAAGCGACTGCTACAAATACCTCGTTTGCCACCTGGCCCCCATCTTCTCCCAGCAATATTACATGCGACGCATGCCCTCAGCATCCCTGTCAAATTAGGGGTAAACTTTGTCGCTCGAAGCCATGCGTTCGTCTGGAGCGTACAACATTCACTTTGTGGACTAGAATTTGCGATCTTTCTCAGTAAATGGCTCTTTTGTATCGCCGACAGCCAGACCAGAAGACCACTAAATGGTAGGTTTCTTATCCTAGGGGGTCCTAGCCCTTGTTTTATTCAATACACTTCATGGAATTCTAAGTTTGCTCACACGTATCCCCAGCACACGAAGCGCGACTCGTGAATTGGATCAGCGATATTGTCGAAGAAGGACGAACATCAGCAGACGATGACTTGTGGTCCAGCCCTTCGAATCTCTCGGATTGTTCTTACCTAGGAATTGCCGTTGTAAGGTTATGGGCCCGACTGATCAGGGGAAACGGTCAATGGTCATTATTCGAGGTTGTAAGCGATGGACTGGATCTCTATGCCAACACTTGTGAGCAGAGCTTCCTTCGCTTCGAGACAACTGCACCTGAACCAATATAAAGTTTATTGGGCTTTTCTATATGCTGTCAACGCCCAAACAAATTCTATATATCTCAATACCTATCATGAACCTTCGCGACCGAACTTCGACCTCTGCCTCAACACCTCCCCATAGTGAAACAGGGGATGCGTCCCGACAACGGAACCGATAGTCAGTCCAGCCAAGAGACTACACCCAGGCCCCAAGCCCAAGTTCTCGTGAAGTGGTCACGAGAACAGGACAGAGTCACAAGTTCCCCGGATAAAATTAGTCGCAGCAAAGACACTCCCCGCATAGTAAGATGACAAGCGGGTATGTAGAGGAACACGCACTGCATTATAATCAACGCACATCCATGGTAGATGATAATCCCGGTCGTAGGGACAATCCAATGGAAACCGGTCCTGCTCTGAAGGTTCTATTCATCATCAGCAGCATACCAGGCCACGCACATGATATTTTGGTTGTGGAGCGGTACGGTTTTATAATCGACGGCATCTCCCCACCCCTCTTGCTCTTCGGCGTGCGCCAGCCAGCATGGTCTACAAATCAGACGCAAGTCTGGTCGAGGAAGCTGTTGCGTATCCATGAGGTAGGCATTCAATCGGTCCGAGACCATATAGAGCGAATAGAAAACTGCACAATCCGACCTACTTGCAAGCAGAGGTCGTTAGTTTGGGGAGAACTACCTCCAATCTAGGATTAGTTACTTGATACTGTTTCAAATGAGGAATTTGTTCTCACATTACAGAGCTTGCTTGATTTGTCAGTAGAAAATCATAAATATGAAGCTGCCATCTCTCTGTGGAGGTGTTATTGGAGGTGCTATTGGAGGTGCTATTGGAGATGCTTGGAGATAGAGGAAGTTTCGATATTGATGCGCTTTTTAGCTTCCATCTGGCGTCGTATCCGCTGGGGCAGGTCTTTCCTTCCTACAATGTCATCATGGGAAGATCTGGTTGGAACAACTTAAAATGGAATATTCTACACGAGTTGACTGCGATTGTTGGCGTAAGGGCGATGATAAGGAGAAACTAACCATCTTACACACCATACTGAGGGAATAGTCCCAACATTGAATTGGTATCAGATCATATAAAAACAAACGATTCGCCTAGACACCAGACAGCGCTTCAATCGCCCACTTTCCGTCTCCGTGACCATGTCATAGCTGCGGATATAGACACATTCATATTCACCTCCAAGAGGGCCCGAGTACCTCCAAAATTGTGGGCCCAAATCAAGTGGGTCTCTCTACGTAATGGTTTGCCAACCCTTCTGAAGTTTTCTTGGCATGTAAAGGCCACCAAAAACTTAGGCACCCCTTATGGTAGTCGGGGCAAAGGATGCTTGGTATTAGACAGACCAGTGGCCTAGGTTGTGAGAGACCAGCTGTACAGAAAGTTATTGGCAATTTTTTGGGACGCATGGTTCTATGCTGCCAGTAGATGATTTTGGAAAATGGATTCCATATCGGTTGGAATAGGTTCGGAGTTGTAATCGAAACTACATCGGTTTTTACAACCACTCCATCCCACCGATTCCAAAGAGACTATATTATAGAAACGTATATTGGCTCAGGCCGACTGAATATAAAAGCTTCATTTTACCATTGGACCTTGATTTATCAGCTACGATTACTAGATCTGAGTCGAATATATTCGCGTGGAGGTGTTGTTGGAGACAGAGGCGTTTTCTCCACCATCCCAAATTGCAATTTCTACATATATAACGAAAATCAACACAAGTCTACAGAAATGCCATCTCCAGTTGAAAACACATCCCAACTATCTAACGAATTCACTCGTCTCACGATTGGGACATCACAAAGGATTTACAACAAGACGGTCAACATGTCCTCCAAACTTTTCCAGCCCCTTCAGGTCGGCACGATCAATCTCGACCATCGAGTCGTAATGGCACCACTTACTCGTTTCCGCGCCGATTCGCAACATGTCCCACTTCCTATGGCCGAAACCTATTATGAGCAACGTGCTTCGGTCCCAGGCACCATGATCATAGCCGAAGCAACAATGATCTCACCATCAGCCGGCGGACTTCCTCATGCGCCCGGGATATGGAGCGAAGAACAAATTAAGGGCTGGAAGAAGATTACCGACGCAGTACATAAAAAACGAAGCTTCATTTTCTGTCAGCTAATTGCTGTCGGCAGAGCCGCTGACCCGGCGCAATTGCAAGCAGACGGTGGCTATGTTCTGCATGCTCCTAGTCCTATTCCCATTGAGCCCGGCATGCCCGTTCCCAAAGAGCTGGAGGAATATGAGGTGCAACAGATCATTAGTGATTTCGCAACAGCCGCGAAAAACGCTATGCGTGCTGGTTTTGACGGCGTTGAGATCCACGGGGCTAATGGTTACTTGGTCGACCAGTTTCTTCAAGACGTTTCGAATAAGAGAAACGACCAGTGGGGTGGTAGTATCCCCAATAGAGCGCGATTCGGCTTGGAGGTGGCCAAGGCAGTAGCCGATGCTATCGGCGCAGAGCGTGTTGGCTTTCGCGTTAGTCCTTGGAACACATGGCAGAGCATGAAGATGGTCGACCCAGTGCCTCAGTTCGCCTATTTTGTGGAGCGCTTGCAACAGCTCAAACTGGCTTATCTCCATGTCATTGAGTCTCGGGTTATCAATAACATAGACTGTGACAAGGAGGGCAGTATCAAGTTTCTACTCGATATTTGGGGAAATTCGGCGCCTGTCATTGTTGCCGGTGGATATAAACCACAGAACGTTGAAACTGCCATGGAAGAAGAATACAAGGATCACCAGATCGCAATCGCCTTTGGGCGGCACTTTATCGCCAATCCCGACTTGCCTTTTCGCATTCGTCAAAGTATCCCTCTAAATCCCTACCACCGAGAGAGTTTCTATACGCCCATGCAAGAGGATGGCTACACGAACTACCCCTTCAGTGCAGAATTTATGGAGAACAGGATACATTGCTGATATTCATAGCTGAACTACTGACCCAGGTAGTGTTGGTAGAAATTGGATCAGTGTTTATGTCGTTGTGTATCAAGAGGAATGAGTGTGAAGACAATTTGGAGACGGAGATATGACCGAAATATCCAAGCTAGATAGAACCATCATGTATGTTAGACTTCGTAATTGTATCTTCTGTCTTATAATTCGGAATTTTGCGATCATGTCTTTTGCGGGGCTAAGTATTTAATCTATCATTGAAGCCGGCTATCCTTCTCAGCTGCCAATCGGGGCACCCGCGTGTGTATAGGTGTGAGGACTGATTGGTGCGATGGATCCAACCACATCTCCCAGACAAACCAAGAACTTCAAGGATGGTTACAGCTCGTTAAAAGCGCTACACAGAAAGGAGCGAGTAAGCAACACAAAAATAGAAAAACAAAAACATACAACAGAAGGGATTCGCTGGTGGTCACCCACCCAACTACTAACCTCCCGGCGTGTGGCTTAAGTACGGCTGAGCGGACGGGAAGCCCTGTTTTCCACACCCTGTGGTCGTATGTGACAGTTTAGTGTTGTAGAGAGTTTATATCGCAATCGCCAATGCGTATATTAGGGAAGCATTCTCGTTGTAGCTGCCTGAGGCTAGGGCAGGGATGAAGCAAGGTATAGAAAGCTTCCCAATAGGTATCCTGGAAGACACTAACTTGAACACTCTCTGTGTTAGACAAAGAGTATTGGCAATGTATCATCGCACATATGTTGGAACTATTCGAGGCCAATGAAGATCAATCGTGCCGATTGATGATAGGGGTAAGGCACAGTCAAAACACTGACCCGTGCGAGCTTCTGGAAAACGCCACCCACGCTCTTTAGTCTGTTCTACTCGAACAGACCTTACCAGTGAGTTGGCTCAAAATTCCAAAGTTTGAATTTGGTAAGTTTCCTGTTACTTATCAGGCACCCATAGTGGATCCTTTACTTACAAGATCATATAAGTCGACAACGTTATCTACGAAGAATTGTATATCCATGGCTTCATTGATGTATTTATTGAGCTCTGAGAAAGTGTTTTTTTTTCTCCTGATATGTCTTGAGGAAATACGTACACTTAGTTTTGAAAGCCGTTCAGCATTTAACGGTATTGGCATTATTTGAGTGGAATCACTTACACAGAGAGAGGAAAGAATTATAGGGGATGACTGATAAGAGAGTAACTAAATAGATCCCAGCTGTCGACAAATCGTGCAATGATTCCACTCTAGCTTTGCATACGTACCTAGGAAACTAATGTAGTGCAATCGATCGATCGACACTAACATGGGAGCTCCCCTTGAGTGCTACCAAAATTGCGCATCGACAAGCTGTGTAGGCAGTTAACTAGCCAGCTGCCCCACTCGTTCATTTTTCTACAATCTATATAACTGTGCTTCGCCTTGCGTTGTGCTGTATACTACAGTAGTTGGGTGTATAAGTGTGGTGACGAGCCTTCTATGCTGCATTATATTGTTCTATTACCTACTTCGTGTTTTTTTCTGTGTGAGTTAGGTGTTATGGCATGAAGGAGGGATAAGGAGGAGAATGAAGAGAGGAATGGAGAAATAGAATCCGGGCGTACCTGAGGCGCTCGGGTATTGTCTTACTATGGATGAGCACTTTTACATACTTGGTTATTCAGGAATCGAGTCACCACTTAGTCAGGCATAATGCGTTTACTCAGCAGTATACAATCAATAAGTGGTTACATCAGGTATATGTTACGGTGCATATCAGTGGAATAGCATCCTTAGTAATGTGCAAACATTATAGATTGTTTAACTTTATATACTATAGATGAAACATATCAAATTATACTTACTCAAGTAATCTAATGAAAGATTGCTACCCTCTAATCCTGACCTAGTGATCTGGCAGATGCTTTGTTTGGCGGCCGTAAAACGGTCGACAACCATCTTCTAAACTTTAACTATTTCTCAAGCGTATTTTGGAAAGGCCTATTGATATTTGCATGCACTTGAGCATCTTCGCCTCCAATAATTGTGAGACAAGATGTAATGAACAGGGTAAAGCTCAATGATGATCCCAGTGAAGCTCATCTCCGAGTTACTTCACAATGAAAAGACATTCTCTGCCTTTTGTGTCTTTATTGTTTCTATGCAAACACTGGATAGCAGTAAGATAGCTCTGTAGCGAAATAAAGAGTAATAGTACTGACGGTTGATGAAAGGCATGAAAGAGAAGGGTGGGCTTGTCGGTACACTGGAAGCTATTCAGACGACAACTAATACCATCGGAGCAAACTCCGCTGTAAATAGAATAAAGCGAGTATTTTATAGAGATTGCTAAGATAGTCAATTTGCAACCTAGGATTGTTTTGCTGATTGAGAGTCACATGCTCGGAAAATTCGTGGCGGGCTGAGCGATGAATATCAGGGTCCTCTAGGCCTCGGAAGCACATGCTATCACACGGTGGCTTGACTTAGCACCAACCATTGCAAGGAACATGAGCCTGTTAGATTAGATAGTTAATATATATCTGAGCTACAAGGGAAAAATGCAGCCCGTCCAGCTGCAAATGTAATTAAGAGACCGGGCCACTATTCCTGTTGAGGCAATTTCGAAGATCATCAATCAGCTTGATTCGTAGAAGCAATAATAGCGTCATGCGGGGACCATGAGAGTCAGCACCAGTAAATTAGCTGTACAGGCTGAATGTAACATCAATCGGAGAAGGCTGGCAGCTAAGAAGCGGGGTTAAAATGAGGTGATCGAGTCATTATCAAAACTGTGTATAAATCAAATGCATGGGTGTTTGACCGAGTCATTCTGTAGTTGCCAAGTGAGCACCACCCACAAACATGAACTTCTTGTACCTCCTCACCCTACTTTTCACTGCCACAATAGCAGTAGCTACTGCAACA